CCAACTAAACTGCTTCAGTCTTTATCCAGGGTCACCATGCAAACATTAACAACAAACACTCCATAGAACTGACAGCTTCGAATAACCTTAAATTGTAAACAATAGATGTATTGAAACGTGTGTAAAAGCTGTTCCAGGTCAAATGTAAAAGACTATTTAAATATCAGAGAAGAGAAAGCAGTATGTGTGTTACATCAAATGTAAATATTTAAATATCAGAAAAGAGAAAGCAGTATGTGTGTTACATCACTGCACAGGACACATGATGGATTACTGTAAAACGCTACACGGCATAACAAATGCTACAAACGCGCGTTCACATCACGTATGTGCACTTGCACTCACAACAGTGTATGCAAGTGTATGTAAGTGTATGCATTTCTTCTGCAGCTGCTTTATTTTTTTGCAACGCGTGTACTGATGTTGTACAACTGTACGGTCCTCACCTCCACCTGTTGATCCCAACGTTGGACGATCCAGCGAACCACGGGTCGAGGATGTAAATGCAGCGGACGCTGTCCGCTCCCTGCAGAGAGTCCTTGAGGGACGGGTTGTCGTGGAGCCGCAAGCCCTTCCTGAACCAGTGGATTGTATTAATGACCATCACTCAACTGGACGAGTGCTTTTTAAAAGGTTCAAGAGTCTGAGTGATATATTGGACGGATAAACGTTGGTCTTTCCACTTGTATCCGTCAAAAAAACACAGAGAACAAGGCCACAGAGAATCCGGATGTACCAAGAAATGAACAAAAAAGTCCGTGGGTGCTCCTTTGACTTGGAAAAAAAGTAAACAGTCCTTTGCGTTTTAAAAAAATTAACCTTGCTCTAACAGAACCTTTTCCATTATGTCAAAAAATCCAAAAACTAACAGCTGCCGAAACATTTGGCCAGAAATCAGAATGCGCCCCCCGTGGCAGGAAAACCGGCGAGCTTTAGGACCTGCGACGCGGAAAAAGCGGCAGCCTGGCTGTTGTATAACTTGTTATTGTGATTGGTGGAAAAAGGCTTAAGTATAATTACATATAAAATGAATAAACGTGTACTAAACGACAACGTCAATTAAACACTCACAGTCGAAACTCGAGTTTAAATTTCTTACACTAAATCAGCCTGTAAGTTACTGCAGGTTGGCGAGCTCCTACAACGGCTTCTCCTCTCCACCACAACGAAAGAAGGCAGCTTATGTAAATGGAAATTTCTCGAAAAAATGTCAAATTCAGCGTCCTAACTTAACCTAAACGTTCACTTAGCTGTGTCGGTTCTCTTCTGGATCCTTGTAACACGTCTTCGTAGATTTTCAGCGGATGATTTAAGTGGAAATATCAAAGTTAAATATTTTTTTTCTCGTTGACATCCACGAATAGCTGTTCGACCACCTCGCCGCACCTTCTGCCGTGGCTCCGCCTACCACCGGAGATGTAAGCGCACATTGGACGCGTGGTAGTTTTCAGCGCTATGATTGGCCCACACGGACTGTTTGCGTGTCCCGGCGTGGTCACGTTTTTACAGCGTGCTGTTCTCTCTCTCTCTCTCTCTCTCTCTCTCTCTCTCTCTCTCCCTCTCTCTCTCTCTCTCCCCGATTCTCACACTATATATAGAGTAGCAGCAGCAGCAACATTTAACGTCTGTTATTAAATAGCGACCTCCAGAGGAGAGTTGTTTTTAAGAAATATTATCTTTAACAGGTTTACTCGCGGAAAATGTGTCAGTTTCGCCTATACAAGTATTGAGACAAAATGACATTTCGTTGCCAGACTCACTGTTTTCTTGTGTTTCTGTGCAATGGCAATAAAGAAAGTCTAAGTCTAAAATTACAGATTTAGTCCCAACGATGCCTAAGGCAAATTTTATTTGTTTTTTGTATATTATATTTTTATATTGCTTTATTCTGACTAAGTCAATGTTAAATCTACATTTAACTTATTTGCTAGTTAAATTTATCTTGGCCAATTTACCTATTTTTTACATATTTCACCTATTTTCTCTGTTTATTTGTTTATTAATGACTTAATCTACCGTCCCTGCTGATGTTCAACATTATGTTCTCTTGCTTAATCTGTTACTTTAGGCACCTTCTTCTGTTTGTCACTTGTTACGTTAAAGACTAATATTTAATATTTTCTTGTACCCTTTTCACTGCTACTGACCACTCAATGAAGCTCCCTAATGGATGTGTCATTTACGGTGAAGCTTGACCACCCTTTTGTACTTTATCTAAGTGCGTCACAATATTCTCTTATATAAAAATGACTTTGCGTAATTATGCAAGCGCTTGACATGTGGCTCTGCACCAGAGTAGTAATAGCAGACTTTGGCCACTAGATGTCAATATAAAACTACGTTGTCGACTTACCTTACGCATCTGTAACGTAAACGATGTTTTTAGTCGGAGTGGAAGTGAAATGGAATTACTGTAGTTAATTAAAAAATATTTATTAAAATAGTTTGAAGTTTGACGTCAAGTCAAAGTTTTTTCATTTTATTACAAAAACATACGTCACAGAATCTAAACAAAAACAATGTGTCCCTTTAGAAACTGATCTGTTCATTAGAAGTTTGCTCGAATGTAGTTTGTTCATGACTTTTTTGGTTCTGGAAGTATAATGACTATATATATATACTGTATATATTTGATTTTCACTTGCCTACCAAGTTTTCTAACAAATAAAAGCTTGTGCATCAGGTCTTCAGTTCACAAAATATCTGTAGTTTCTGTTATTTTTGAGTGACTTTAAGAAATAAGAGCAATGAACGACATCCCATCTTTCCTTGTCTGAACATAAGATGTCCAAAAATAATACATTTTAATAAAGTCCAAGTACAAACGTTGTCCATTTCAAGTAATAAGTGCATTCATTGACAAAAGAAAACAAGAAGGGCTTTCAACCGCCAACATAGGCAAGCTAAAGTGCTTTTTCTCGAACATCAATGGGATTATTTATTTATTTATTTATTTATTTTTTGGACAAATAAAAGCATCTCTGCTTTTCCACCTGACAGACAGTCTCTTCTCATCACATGCACTTCCAAACCAAACAAACACTTGTATGACTTGAAACAGCTTCAGTAACACTAAGTCTAAATAATAGAAATAAAAACAAAAAAATAATGATAATAGTAATAATTAAATATGCATAAAATGATCTGCTTATCTATTTCAGTTCAAGCTTTTTCTACACTTAATTTTAGCTATTTTAGGATTAACCTTTAGCTAATTCTGGGTAACTCTTCACTATTACTGGGCTAACTTTTAGCTATATTAGGCTAATGTTTAGCTTTTAAATTTTTGTTCAATAATAGTAACCCATATCTCAGTGGTTTAAGAACCGTGGGGGTAAATGGAGGATTGCCTTGCCCCATGTTAAAGGATTAGGCTTGTTATCAGAGGATCTAGGGTTAAATCCCACTTTGGTTATTATGTGTTGAGCAACTTCCAATTTCCTTGCTCCTTGGACACTCAACTAGGTTGATCCTAAAAGCAGAGGACAAATTTCATGTAAATATAGAGTGACAATTAAGGCGATCTTTCTTCTTCTCTTCTTATCACAGCTGCTCCTCTATCACAGCAACGTTCAGACTACACATACAATGCTAACTATATGAGGCTAACGAGGCTATTACATTAACTGCTATGTTTTGTGTACATTCGAACTATCCTTAACTCTGATGTTTTGTGTACATTCGAACTATCCTTTAGCTACTTTTTGGGGCCTATTTAAAATACGGATATTAGCACTGGAATAACACAATATGTTATAAACACGTTGGCAAAGGAGCGAACACACAACAATAAAACACATTTGACAAAATACAGGGCTGCCGGTAATGACTAGGTAAACACCGGCTCTGCTGGCAAAATACACGCACGCTATCAGTTTGCCAGGAAACTCATGATTCTCTAATTTTTATATGCTGTTTCCAGGCAACTAAGCCTTGATAAGTGATAAGCTCTGGTCGTGCAGGGTGTAGACAGCTGACAGCTGCCCACCTCCTCCAGCTCCTCCGTCTCCATCTCCTCCACCACGGTTAGTCACAGAGACGCTGTGGATGAACTGGGTCACTGTCACAATCAAGTGTGTGGGCGGGACGTGGTAATGCTGACATCTGCTGACACATACTGAACATGAGCTCAACACAGTCTTCATCGTTATTACATCAAAGGGTAATGCCAGAGTTAATTAGTTCAGATATTTTCATCAACAACGTCGTCTCTTCTCCACTCACCCATTCAGCTCAGACCTGTTTTAATACAGGACCTCATCTATTCAGATGTTCAACTGGAGCTGCTTTATTTCTGTGACCAACCAAAGGGTCTTTTTGGCTAGCTTTTAGCTCTGAATGAAGCAACTTTTTCATTGCTTCATTTCATTGCTAAACTTGAAATGAAGCAATGAAAACTAAACTTTAGTTTTCTAGACTAAAGTTTAGCAACTTCTAGTCTTACATAGTAATGTTTCTTTTAACTATTTCGAAGACAACTTGTAGCTATTTCCTGGCTAACTTTTAGTAACTTCTGGCCACATTATACATTTATAAAAATTTTAGTTATTTCTTAAGTGACTTTCAGCTACATCTGAGTTTACTTCAGGACATACTTACTTACTTTTTGGTTATTTCCAGGCTAACCTTTAGCTATTTCTGGGCTAGTTTTTCCACTAGCTTTGGGGTTATTTCTGGGTTTACATTGAAATATTTCTTGTGTAACTTACAGCTATTTCTGGGCTAACTTTTAGCTTCTTTCAAGTCGACAGCTATTTTTGAACATACATTAAATGATTCCCTGACAACCGTTGAGCTTTGTTAACATCTTTAATCATATAGTTGTAAAATTACAGGTCATAATAAAACAAGAAGTTATGCTACGTCTAAATATCTGTTGTTTGCTTTAACATATTCTGTCTATGCTACATTGGCTAACTTAGCTAATTTTTTTTCTGGATTTAGCTGAAATCAATTTTGTTTTAAGAACTTGTTGCTACATTGCTAATGTAGCAACAAGTTACAGTAGCTAATGACTACTGCTATTTGCTTCTAACTCCAGTATTTCTCGGCTAAACTACTAGCTGCTTAGCTAGCGGAGGTCCTAACATGTAAAAACAGATTTATTTGATAAACATAATAATTGATATAAATATGAATGAGAAATATGAATCTATTGTATCTATTATAACTATGTCTACAATGCAGCCCACAGAGTGGGCACCACCTTTTTACCTGTGTATTTTACCCCCCAGTGTCTGCTCCATCTTTATGTGTCTCACCTGTGTCTCTTCACAGACCCGTCCCCGTCCATTTGTCCCCAGAGTATTCCGTCCCTGTGTCAGTTTCCATTTCCTGCTGTGTCTCCCCGCTGCGGTCACATCAGTGCTGTCTGCAGCCGTTTTAGGAGAACTCTCCAGGGACGTGTTGTGTGGAAGTCAGTGTTTTTTTTAAGGGAAAAAAAAGAAACCTGGTGACACAGTATTACTGAAAGTCGTCTTTTTCAGCTGCTGTGTTATTTTTAAATGGGATGAAATGACACGGTCCCTCATCCTGCAGTGACAGCCTGTTATTTTCCAGAGGCCTTCCCAGAGGGAGTGCACCACCAGTGGTCATTTTTAAACGTGAAGTCAAAGTCACATGACTCAGGGACAACATCATGTTCCTTCTCCTGCCTCCTCCGAAATCCCCCTCATGCTCCAGAATCTTCCACTGAAGCTGCGGCACTTTGTCCTCGTGTCGTCAACATTACAGTCTGGTTTGGAGCCATGACGAGAAGAAATGAATTCTGAGGCCGTGCTGCGAGGAACAGTTGGTGGACTGATGATTCATCCATTCTGCCGGGGCTTCTCCTTGTACATATGAGCTGGACCCACCATCTGTCCACACATGCCTGCCTGCCTGTCCAACACGCCAGAGGCTCTTTCATATTTTCCCTGTGTGACACTGCTCTGCCCGTGCCAAACCTGGGAGGAAAAAAAAAAAAAAAGGAAAACACAACCTACTGTTCTGGAATTTGCAGAAACATTGTTTGACATGATTACATCTGCTAAATAGACAGTGGGTAGCACTCTCTACCTTACTGCAAGAACGTCACTTGTTTGATCCCTGGTGATCACTGCTAGAGCCAGGGTCACCAACTAAAGTCAGAGGGGACAGAATTTCTTCAAAATAAATGACGGGGATTACTGATATTTATTTATGTCTTGGGCCGGATTGGATGCTTTGACAGGCCCGATTTGGTCCACGTGCCTCCAGTTGATGATCAATGTGCTAGACTTTCTGTGTGGTGTTTTTTTCGGGTTCTGCAGTTTCCAGCTCTTACACCAATAGATTTTTCTAGATTTAGAACCACACTGAGAAATAAAATAAAATAAAATTACAAAAATAAAGTCATACTTTTATGAGAAAAGTCAATACTTTCGGAGATTAAAGTTGTGAATTTATGTAGACGTGTTCTCCTAGCGGTTCGACTTTCATAAATGAACAACTTTAATCTGGTAATTTTATTATTTAAACTCTCAATGCGATCCCAGCGCTCTGTCGTAGGCTTGTGTTTTCCAGTAAAGAAAATGTCACCTAGACTGAGTAGCATGAATAGCTATGTCTAATAAACAACACACACACACTATTACCTTTAATTTCAATTGATTCTGATGAATTAATTACAAAGCCACTAATTTATTCGATTGTTTAATAGTTTACTTCAGTCTGCACGAAAATCTAACTGACCTTTATTTTGAAATTAAACTAACCTCATTTGACATGGACTCAGCTGCACTAAATCCACTGTACTGCACATGCTTTGTTCAACAACTGTAAGTCCGACTGTAGCTCCTACAACCTCCCAGTGTCAAAGCAGTTAAAAAAACACACGTGCTCACTGTCAGCAGGTGAAACTGATTCAGTGTTGATTAAAGTCAGAAGATCAAGCCCTGCAGCTGTAAAAGCCTCAATTAAAGGTGCAACACCTGAGGACCCCCCCCCCGGGGCCCCTCAG